TAACGATACAGACATGTCTTCATGACTAAGACCTCACATAAAAAGTGATACCACGCAGGTGGACACAGCCGTAGGATACGTCATACGACTCGCATCTGGGAGATATCCTGTTCGAACACTGGCCATGAACCCGTCCGTGAATCCCTTCAAGACATCCGAAATTTTAATTACGCAGGTACATCACATTACAGCCAACCCCGGTTATACCGAATTTCTTCTGACGTCCACATTTCACCGTCCACTCTGCAAACACAGGACATTCGTTGTCCGAGGGCTACCGGTCTCACTAAACAGCGTTTGTCATACACTGAAAATGCATTCGCTTCCTCTTTGATCTTAGAGATTATAAAGGCCAGCCTCTGGGAACTACGTAGTTCGAAATCATTGGTTTCCGTGTTGAAATTAAACTTGAAGCAAAAGCCATAGTACAGAAAAGTGAATCATATAGCATCTAAAATTAATATCCCAAATGTGCTTCAACTAGGCTACATATGAAACATCACAGGGAACAGATGGCGTATCAGATGCTTCTAAAATAAAATGGTAGACACTTTCGTGTTAGGCCCTATGCTACAATCATTATTAGGATGGTCAAATCAAGGAGGACGTAATGACAGTCGTCTACATAGGAGAATAATATTAAAATGTATTTTAGGGAATGAGGGTGGAAAGGTACTTACTGGATCTATCATATGCCTTAGGATAAGGACTGGTTGTTGGTCCTGTGAACACACTAACAACGCTTTCTTTGGGTTCATCATCCGGTGTTTGATTTCCGGTAGAAGCAAGAAAATCTTTCCTTCGCCACCGGCTCTAGGTCGTATCCAGAGAGACGTCTGGTACTTACAGCGCTTCTAGCAAATTAAATGGACCGGGAGAGGGGAAGATGATTGCTCACCTTCAACATTATCACAATAAATACCACACATACCACTACTAGTGCCGAGGTTAAGAATGCGTGGATTATGTATGCCTTCACTTCCCAATACTCCTTCATTACAGTGCTTAACAGGACGCAAAGACACGTCCTCGTGGCTTGTGGTGTTAATTTTAGGACAGAGGAAATTTTCACCCTTGCCTTACAATGAATACGATACACAAACAAAAGAAAGAATTTTTGTAGAATATAATCCAGCTTTCGATATGAATAAATATCATGCAGTCGTGTGCGTGCCATGTAAACAAGAATCTATACAAATAAAACAATACTACTAAAGAACGTACTAAAAAATCTACGCGGTGGCGTACAAATCCACGCATTTCCGGGGACAAGACATTAAATTAATCACGAATGCCGTCTACTCTAGTTTAGGTACAGAAATAATGCATACTTTATTCCAATTGCACGCAATCCACGAGTAAAATACGCCTGTCTAAAAACGCAAAAGTTCCCCACAACACACAAGAAATAAAAAAAAAAACGTACCAGAGTAGTGCTGAGGAATGTTTCCAGTAGGGGAGAAGGGGGCTAGTTGTTACATGGGCAAGTTGTTATATTTTAGTTAAGTGGTATATTGTCTGTAATTAATTACTTAATAAAGGTCAGAAGTGTTCCTTCTCTTTACTAATACAATGTGTTGTAACAATTTTCCCCTTCACTGTAACTAACACCTAACAGGACACATCGTTACAAACCGCCTTCTCTTAAATAAACAAGTTTTGTGGCGAAACAAAAATAAATAGGCCTTTGAAAAAATGTTATTAATACAGCCGAATAATAGTACTACCTGAAGCCATAATTGCTAACTTCGTAAATTTTAAGAATAATTGTACAAAAAAAATCGTAATTGAAAATTGTAAGAACTAGCCCCAGTCTCCCCTAACGTAGCCTACTAACACTTACACAGTTCCCATGCGTGAGATTTTTGTTACATTTTTCCCACTTCCACCAGCGATTCAACCTATCTTGTGCGGAAATGGCCGTGGGGTGAAAAGAAAAGGGGTTGTACTGAAATATACGTCTGGTGGCTTACATTATACAGCCACCGCCCAGCAAGGAAGAGGGTACATCAAAACAATATGCTCTTACTATCTCTCAGAATCCATCCCATCAGCATAATGCTTCTGAAACGCAGACGTGACTGACAGCAGATATGGGAGTGCGAAAATTCACCAGAAAAAAGTATAAAGAATATGGAAGGGATAAAGTTTCTTATACTTCAAAATGAAGGCAAGAAATGGATGACCGCAGGCTCTCCAAAACCACCAAATCAGCAAACCACAGCAGATAAGCCATCTAGTCCAGACATTACCGCTTTTACTGAAACCGAAATGTCATCAAAATACCCACAAAAAAGCGCCACTGAATTCTACGGCTGGGATAACAACAGGAAGATCTATCTTGTGCTAATACATTTGTGAAATAAAAGGTAAGAACACATTAATTCGATCTAGTAAACTATCTTGTATTACCCGTATCAAAATCTCGCGGGTTCTGCTACCAGAATGAGTTAATATGATGTTAGAATCGTCAGCTTACAAGGTAGCCAACAACAAATGCTAATATAATATCCATGCTTCGAAGCAAGTGTGTTAATACGTAATAAATAATATCGTCACCAGCACGTATCTAATTGCACACGATTTACCCCTTATGAAGTTACTCAGGACACAGCGGTCAGTTACTCAACGCCTGCGGTGGATTACAAGAAAGAGGTACGATCAAACGAAGTTTCGTGGCGTGCAAAGTTGCTTATGCGTGTACAGGTAATCGACAGCAAAACCACAGCTACTGAAGCAAACCGTATCAGTTAAAGATTTCGCAGCTATAACGCGACTACTGTGCATAGCAAAACGTGAGCTGTTAGTGCACGCCCCCCAAGTGATTTATGTTGAAGATTTAAAATACTTCTGTTCAAGTGATTTATGTTGAAGATTTAAAATATACTTCTGTTGAGATTTCAGGTTCTCACAGCGACGGGTATGAAAATGGCAGTCTTCTCGGATAATGCTCTGTGTGACCTCACAGACCTACTGGGTGGAGCTTAAGTGCATCGACCTGATGATGGAGGAATTTAACTCATATGAAACGTCGGTCAATATCAACAAGACCATACAGTGCAACATTCCAGAGGATAGATATTTTCCTGTAATATTTGTTAAGGACGTAATGCAAAATACGATCATATTCTGTCGTTTTAGCTTCATTTTGTAACATAAGATCTTTTATAAGTTTCAGGATCTTATAGGTATTGCAAAGAATAACTATAAACTATGACCTACGACGCAGTGTGCAGTCTAATTACTACTTAGTAGCATAGACTACAAGTTTGACTTTTATTCTCTACAGGAACGTAAAAATGTTTCATTATACCTTTCTCTCTACATCTCCATGGCCGAAATTTAAAATGTAGGCCTGTCCATCTTTAACGCTGTAGATGGAGACAGCATGTTTCTGCGAAACGTTGTTACGTACCTATGAGTCTCCATCCTCGCCGATGCGAGAAAGTTAAAACCTCGTCAAGAAAAGACGGTGGAGAAAACCTATTTTCATGCACAGCAGGATGTACGAGAAGTGGAAAGGTAGCACACGAATTTTCAAACTACTTTCTTACAACTTCTAGAATCTTACTAAATGTCATGTTCATATACGTTACATACTCCTGCTTCGAAAGCTGTAAACCCCGACTTAAAATCTTGACTCAGAGACCGGATCTAATAATTCAGTTTTTTCCGTAGTTTCTTCCAGTCCTTCCAGGATACTACCTCAAGTCAGGCCACAACCGTTTCCTTACATATCCTTTCCAATTCAACAATCTTTAAATAAACCACAAATCAATTAATGCTGTATGCACTTCGCACCTTCCGTAGGTTAGATTCATTTTAATATTAATATTATCCTCACAGATAAGCCATCAAACAAAATGACTACCTGTACGTCTGTGATGATGCACTTTCTGGAGCTTCTCTGTAACACTGAGTCATGTATTCGCTCGAGAGCGTGTCCCCAGGGTGGCTGATAGGAGAGGATGCCGCTGGATATGTAAGCTCTTTCGAATAATCAATAAGAATCCGTGGACCAAGAGGGTGTCCGATGCATGGAGACTGTGGGGCAGAAATACGAAACACTCGAGTACTGAAACAGCGGAAGAGACGTTTTGAAGTTGCTAAAATAGTTGTATGTACGAACGCACTTTAAATTTTAAACAGCAGTCTTCATGTTCCACTGTAAAAGCAAGGCAACTCCATTCCTGTTTTGTGTCGGTTTAGAGGATCAATGTTGAAGCAGATTAAAATATCGACGTCGCATTTCATATCAGGGAATGGGTATTCAGGAACTTATCTTAAGAATCGAAAGTATTCTATTCTTACAAATTTGGCAAGCTTTCTTAGTACAAAGTAATGGAATGGAAAGACAGAGTAGGTTTCTCCGTGTCTCCGAAAGTATGAAAGGGATTTCCGCAGTGTAGTATAGGATGTTTGTACTTACGGAAGGCAAGGAGCTGCACCATTCATTTCAAATACGAGACAGAAAAAGAAAAAAAACTTCTAAAAAGGCACAAAACAGATATTAATTCCAATTTCTTACCCAATTATTATAAGACGAATACCTCACCTTTTACTTGATAATGTAGAACGCACTTACCTCACCCCCTGTTCTGAGGGGGGAGGGTTAAAGAAAAGTGACAGTGGGGATGACAGGGCGCTAAGGGTTAATGGTACAATAATATAGGTTTATCTGCCCACAGAACCCCTTCCAAAGAATCTCGCATCACCCCCTCAAGAACTTCGTTTTCCCCACATCGAACACAGCAAAACAGAAAAGGGTACAACAGGCAGCGAAACACAGGAGAAGGAAGACAGTAGGCAACGTATTAGTCAAGATGAGCCTTCCCTTCTCGTCTGGAAGTTCTGAAACTCTCTTTTTTGCCCCATGCCTTTTCTTCCCTTAAAATAATCTCGAAGAAAGTGGTAGGTTTTGGCTCATAAAGCCGGTAGCTATGGGATGGGAGCAGTCGAGCCACCAAAATAGCATCAAAAACCTTGCAGCTGAAACAGGCGTAAAGTGTTCATCTGTAATGACTCCAGTTACCTTCTTCTATAGTCGGCGCAGTAGTTTCTGGCCGGTGGAGAAGCTGGCGGACGGGCCTAGTCTGTGTACCTGAGGTGGCACGGTCAGTGTATTTCTTTTGTTTGGGCGTTCAGTCACACAAGCTCCTCGGTGCAGTCAGCATTATACTATCGCAAAAGAGACTCGCTCCTAGCCTCCCCCCACCGGTCAAAAACTACTGCGCCGACTATAACAAAATATACGTAAAAATTTAAAAATTCAGAATAAATTGCAAGTAAGTTGGGTTGCCGGGTCGTAGGAAAGAAATGCGCAACGAAACATGTAACTGAAGATGAACTTCATGCACATCGAAACACTTTCCATCTGAAGTGATGAGAAGAAAAGTCAGCCTGGCTCTTTGTGTAAACAGACAGGAATAAGCAAACACTGTCGCCGCCAACTTATCGCTTTGTAAAAGTCGGTAACGTCAGAATTATTTGCTTTGATACAAGACAAAGCACAAACATTTCATTTGTGTTTCTCCTTCAAAAGCCATTCAATTAGTGCATAACATAAAACTTTGGCGTTATCTGTTTTCAGTTCACTGAGTAAACTTGTGGTTACAACAATGTGGCATCTGCTACGTCTTTCTTTTGTTTTGTAGACATGGTGAGCTGAAATGGAGCCAGTGTACGCTGACGGCAGCAGATCGCGTCGTGCCCTGCTCTTCTAACACAGACACGTCACAAAACGGACACTTTTGAAATCGGCTTTACTTACTCGTAACTAACTTCGTGGTCTTCCTTGAAAAGTTGATAGGTATTCCAGGTGGTGGGCAGATTTATATTTATTGTCTTCGTGGAGCCCAAGGATTGATCGCGACGAGACAAAATACTGCCATAAAACCCTGTCATGAACTTGAAACCATCCCATAACCGCACACACTTTTCATGTGCTATGTGACTTCCAGCCTTAAGGGTTTTCAATTAAAATTATATGTGTTTCCCATTTCTACTCCTGCGTTCTACGTGTTCCGCAGAGTTCATCCTCCTTGAACTGATGACCGAAACAATAACTTCATCCTCCTTGAACTGATGACCGAAATAATAATAATAAGCGAAAAGTGCTAATTATTAAACTAATTATGAAAATTTCTTCATAATTTCTTAACTTAAAAATATTACATTTAACGTCATCCATGAAACATTGTCGCTACGAAATAACGGCCTAAAATACCAATAATCCAATACAGACGACGGTTTATTTAACGAAATTGTCAGTAAATGACAGAATGAATAATAATGACAAATCTGAAGGAACTGAATAAAACTATAAGAAACCGCAATCAGAATAGCCTGTCTCTGAGCTCTCTCTTTAAAACTCGGCAACTTCCGAACACGCGAAGTTGCCTACAACTATTCAGCGACGATTAACAACAAGAGGCTGGAGAAATACGCAGACTGGCGAACTTGATGATGATTCGCAATTTTCGTCAAATATTGGGTTGAGTGTGTGGGGCACGGCTGACAGATGAGGAAGGCTACAGAGGGAGGCAGATGCAATGAGAGAAACAGATCATATTAAATTCGGATTAATCTGCTCAGGGAAGGATGCGAGGGGCGGTCTTACGAGAACGGCAATACGCGAGTGGAAACATACAATGGCAGTCTTAGGGCGCACACTTTACTCACAGTACAGATGAATTCAACAATACAAGCAAATACCGGAGTTTCTAGTGCAATTTTTCACTCAACAGGCAAGTTCATGGTATACTTTATCCTTCTTTGCCACTCCTTAAATTCAGTTCTTCTGTTTCATGGCGCAAGAATCAATTTGATTTATTGTCAGTGGATTTATACCTAGAGTACTAACGGAAACGACAGAGGTAAGGGTAAAGGCGAGAGAAAAAGAAAGAAAATAAGAGAGATAAAACAGCATCACGAAGAAAGGAAGTAATAAACCCACATGTATATCCTCGACGGGTTCCCGTGTTAAAGGTCACCACTTGTTACCGACGAGCTCATGAAGACGAAAATGAACCCGAAGGAGAAATAAAACCACAAACCGAATGGAACTGTGTTCAGCCTAAAGCATGGGGTTCTCACCCTTTTTCGCTGGCGTACCAATAATTCTAATTGAACACATTAAATGTACCATTAACCAAATACGTTCAGGGAAAACTTATTTATGTTAATATTATCTTTTGATTTTCTTACTTAGTTCGCGTACCACTCGACATTGGCTCGCGTACCATACGCTGAGAAACGCTGATCTACAAGGAAACGTGTCGCAGGATAGAATATCCTTCTGCGAGGAACAGAAAATTATCCGGCATGCTCAATCAGACACGTGATGACGGCAAGAAGTTAAGATTCTTTCTTGATTTCTGAGTCAATTAATACCTTTTCAGTGACAAATTGAAAATAATACGAAAATTATTCTGACCTATTTTGACATTATCTTACAAGTTCTGGTAAAATCAAAATGAAACCTCTTCAAGAAATCTGATTTTCGAGCTGAGATTCCACTCGGAACATCCAGATACTAAGAATACTAATTACTGAATCACACTTTTCGATACTTGATGTTAAGAGAAAACTGAACTACAAAAATATGTGCCAACACGACGACGTATCACAGTTAATGATAAGAGGTGGTCCGAAACGTCCAATTGTTTGATTTCAATTTCTTGATTCAGACATACAGAACTTTTATCACGGATAACGCATGGGCATGGATCTGTGTAATACAAACAGCAATGTCTAACTCAGGGGTTCTCAACCTTTTGCAGATCTGGGGTCGCACGGATCCCTGCTTATAGACTCGCGGGCCGCAAAGTTATAAATTAAATTACGAAAATGTACTGAAACCTCATACCAATTTACGTACAGCAGCAATACTCTTTTTTAAAAAAAAACATGGTTTCCTGTCACTCAATTTTCGTGCATCCCTCCAGATGTTAGCACTACGACAAGCTCAATTCTTGATGTACGTCGTTTAAACAACTGCTCAAAGCAAAGGAATCTTCCAAATACCGTTATTAACGAGGCGTGTGTTCTCGTATCAGGTCAAACAAATACAATTCTTGATGTTACGCTCTCTGTACGTCGTTTAAACAACTGCTCAAAGCAAAGGAATCTTCCAAATACCGTTATTAACGAGGCGCGTGTTCTCGTATCAGGTCAAACAATGTGACACAACATTACAATAAATGTACTAGAATCAGATAGGCTGATGCCTGAGCTGGACTTCGAACCCCCTACCCCTCGTATACTACACGAGTGCTTACCACTACAAAGCTTTATATGCAAATTTCTTATACAATTATACTGTTATGACTTTACCTTATATATCATATCACATGTAGTATACAAAAGTTGTCTGCAATAATTAATTTACCTTTATAGTGGTTCCAGCTACCTGACGTTTCATGAAACTTCTCCAGAGCTCCTCTCCCTGCGTAGCTGTGGCTGAATTTTTCATCAAAACCCTCTTTACACCAATTTCTACTTTGCATTTACTCCAGATTACACTCTCAGCAGGGAATGGAGGCGGATGAATTGTATACTATATTAGCAGGAATTGTCTGGTGTCAAAGGAGAATAAGAGGGGATAGTGTAATAAATCCCGCACGCTGCTAGATTAACTTTGCTTTAAAAACTTTTTTAAATTAACGAACTCGATCATTAACTTTTGTTAGTTTTAAACAATACAAAACAAAGCTGAGTTCTTAAAAAAAACTGTCTGCATACTCGTACCAGGCAGATTCATGATGCAGATCATTTTAATGCGTTTGGTGATCCAGTGATCTGATCATTAGGAGACGGGCCTAAACACGTCATGAAGACGTGTAGAGGGCGTCGAGGTGAGGCATGGCGGATTCAGGAGGAACACACTGCTCTCTCTCACTCACTCATTCATTCTATGGTGCAGGATATTCTTTCAGAAGTCGATTGTATACTTGGCCTGTCAAAGAACAGCCTATTCTCTTTATAGAACAAGAAGGTTAATCACCGTGTTGACAAAAGCCCGCCACCGGAATCTATCCTGAGCTAGCTGCATCATCTCTTCCTGGTCTCAAGAAATAAGCATGCGAAGTTTGGTACAATCGGTATATACATTCTGGGTGAAAGCGAGCAAAACACACACACACACCTCTTCATATGCAAGGTTTTCAGGCGAGCTTCGGCTATAAACGGTTAGCCAAGTCCCCGCCCCTAAAATTTATTGTTTAAAATTCACTTTAATATTATCAATCCCTTAAGTCTAGATCTCCAAAGTGGTCTCTTCCATTCATACACTTCCCTACTAAAATTGTATTTTTTTTTTCAATCTCTTGCATGAGTGCTTCATGTCCGGTTCATCTCATTCTCCTCGATTTGATCGCTCTAATTATATTTGACGAGTATAAAGTATGAAAACTGTCAATCTGTTATTTTCTCTCCTGCCCCCCCCCCCAGGTCCAACTGACCGAACTGACCTTTCCTCAGGAAACACCCTAATGCATAATCATCTTTCAGGACGAGACGCAAACGTAACTTCCATTAAACTAGCAGGTGAAAGTTTAGCATTGTACATTTCAATCTTCACGGCTTTAAAGACGAAATGGAAGATATAAGATTCTGAACCGAATCGCAGCAATAATTCAATATTTTTTTCATCCTTCGTCTTGGTTTGAAAACACCCACAACGTTCCGAAAGCTGGATCTGCTTCCGTCATCAGATGAGCAACCTGATCAGTTCAGACCACTTCAGAAAGCTAAATCTCCATCGCCATGGATCATCTCAGATAATGATTCGCCTTCCCAGAGCTAAATATGTGTTTAAATCCCCGCTGTGAAGTTGACAACTCCTCCCTTCCCAACCGAGCCGAATTACGGTCACAGAACGTGTACTGCGCTCCGTGTGGATGACTCGTAAGTTTTTTTAATAATACGAAATAAAAGTTGCAAATGTAAACTCTCGGATATGGGCCTAAAACTCTAAAAAGATATTTAGGAACAGAACCATCACAAATCTAAAGGTCCATCTTCCCTAACAACTGAATTTAATTCTGGTAATAAATTGTGAAATGTGTTATTTCAGTCTTTGGTCTATGATAAAAGGCTAATTGTACTTGACCTAATTTGGTGCATAAAGCCAGTATGTCTCCGTTACTACATCAAATACTCTCCCCATCCCAACCAAAGTAAATTAAACAAACGAACAGCCCCGGATTCAGAAACGTTGTAAAACAACTGTACCTCAATAAATTATCGTAAGTATGACATGAAAAGTTTTGATTTGAACTGTGAAACAGAGTCTGGAAATAGGTCTACGAACAGTATACTCCTAATTTGCCGGCTTCGGACACCGTAGGCGTCAGCTGTAACATATAACAGCTGGATAACCTTCCTGTGCTACAGCAGAAATGTCACAAATATGCTGTTTCGTGGCAACAAGAACACAACGTGTTTATACATTACGGGGTGGCGGGATGTGCTAAACACACAGAACTAACCTGCTGTGTTGTTTTTACAGTAGCAAATACGTTGTATTGTGGTCTGGATATCTCTTGCTGCAGTAAGATGAGAGTCTGTTTCGAATCGATACATCAAAATCTCAATGGGTATTTCGTGATTGATGAGCAACGGTGGACTACTGTTTGATTATTTATTTCCTTTATCCGTGAATCTGTATAGAAAATGGGGTCGTACATGACAGAGAAGAGTGTACACATTAAAAAAAAATGTAACGTCAAGCCAAAACGTTTACCTCATGCATAATGGTAATTCATAGATCTCTGTATCGTTTTCTAAACCCCCAGCCTCCTATTCGACAAATAAACCACAAAGCTAAATCCTCTAACGGAAGTTATTATTTATATTTATAACTGCGTTGTCTAGGCGACGTGCGTCATGAACTGTGAAAGCGGTATCTAAACTGCGCGTCAATAATAGTCCTAATTCGTAATTTAAACGCAGTATTGTTCCCTGATTTCATTCAACGGTAGTGGCTTAAATAATTAAATAGCAGACTAGCTGTTAGAACGCTGGCCTTGTAATCCTGGGGTCTCGGGTTCGA